GCTTTAGTCTGTTGTAGGTAGAATTTAAGTTTAGTCTACTGCAGGCTCATGTTAGAAGGGATAAAATGTAAATATACACAGTTCTGTATCTGAAGTGGTAGTAAGTACCCTCTTCTGCAATTTTAAAACTGATTTGGAAGACCTCTTAGATTATAAAAAGGAATGAGAAGAATTACTGAAATTGTTATATGTTACGAAGCCTCGGGGGGGGGGGAAAGGTGAGAATCAATCTGATCAGAAGCAGATTTATGAGTAACTTTGTAAAACCATGAAACAACATATAAACATTATGTGTTTCAGAATACTATATGATAACAATATTGAACCTTACAAGTTAATTTTCTTTCCTTCTTCTTCTAATACTACTGGGAGCAGAAAAAATGGCATTACAGTAGATGATGACTAAGAAGAGACTATGTGTAGTTGCAAATGACTACCTTCCATATAGGGCGGCCTGTTATGTTGTGGCTATTGCTGGAATTTATTCAGACAGCACAATTTGCTACAATGAAACTATGCTGATACTTCAACTGAAGTACAGAATTGCTTGCATTTTTAGTTCAAATTTGATATTATTATGAACAGACTAGTATGGATTGAAAGTCTACTTCATTGCAATATTGGGAATGTGTATAATGCATGGATTAAGTTTTTTTTAAAAAAAAATAAATGATAATATTAGACTGCTGGTTTTATAAAGCATTCAGTGATTACTCACAACTCTGTATGTTATCATTTAATTCTAGTATCAAACTATAACTGCTATATTTATCACTGAGGAGCAATTGCTGATTCCTTTCTTAATATGTATAGGTGCATATATATACTATATTCATTTTCACTTCTTATAGGTTAAAATATTTCCAGCAGTGTACAGTTTCCCTTTACAACCAGTCATATTTTAAGGGTTAAATAAAAATACATAGGTTTTTCACACACTTAAGAGCCAGTGTTACTTGCCTACATGAACACTACTAACAATACATATTAGCTGCAGTTGCATAGACGTTTCAGTAGAATTAGTGACATGCTCATGCATAAATATTATTGCATATGGTAGTTCACAGGTAAGATAGACAACCCAGATGAATTTCAGATAAATTCACTAATTTCAAACAGCTTATATATGAACTAATTGAATGGCAAATTGGACATATGTATATATAAATAATTTTCATTCATTTGTTCATTCGTTCATTCATTCATTTTGGTAGCAAAAATCATGCATAGGGAACATGCACTGCTTATTCTAACTCCAGGATAAATGCAAAACATTCCAATTAACATTTGCAATTCATACGTTTTCTTGATTTTCAAACTCTCAAACAGTCATGCTTGCTAAGTGCAGGGCTAAAGATATTATTCCATACATTCACAGTATTATACGGCTATTATGATTTTATTTGCTATCTCTGCTTTGAATGTTAAAATTTATAATAGCATATTTAAATACTTATTACACAGGTACACAGCCTATAAATAGCAAAATGATAGATAGCACTTTGCTTGTAGTTTGCTGTTAAAACTCTGAGACTAGTTGGGGGGGGGAGCAGCTTTGTAATTTTTCTTTTTGCTTGTTTGTTTAGGCAGTTCTGCCTATAAGCTTTATTCTGTACTGCTTTGCAGTTGAGCACAATTATCATCTATGCATGAAGTTAGTAATATTAACAAAATCACTATTGTAATGAAACAATTTAAAACCCAAAGTAATTTGGCTGCAGCATACAGCATAGCGATCTATTCTACTATCTCCTTAGGAACCCCTCATTTTTTCTGTCTCGAATTTCAAAGGTAGCTAAGCCTGAAGCAAGTAAAAATTACTTTTAATAATTTCGCTGACTGTCTCTTTTGCAAAAGGAGATTTCTATGTTGGCTGAAAGTGGTGGAGCTCTGCTTGAATGTCAACGAGATAATGTAAAATTTATCTTCAAAATCTCTTAATCTACTGAAGATGGAGTGCAATTAAAAGGCTGGATGGTGGGTATCACAGGCGAATGTTAGGGAGCACGAAACACGGGTGGCAACTAGGGAGGATAGATTGGTGCTATGGGAGGGTGGTCATAAAAGTGGGCTGCCCCAAATTTCTAACACATGACTATTAGGTTGCTGCAATGGCTGGAACTTTAAAGTTGGATTATAAATCCATTTTTTCAGCACCGTTGTAACTTTGAACAGGCATTGAATGAACGGACGTAACCTGAGAACTGCTTAGATCCCTTAGAACTGGTAACCACTGAGAATTACATTTTGTGATGTTGTATGATTTATTGATTGGATTAATATACAAGAAGCAATCTGGCAAATTTTCTAAAAAGTCATTTATATCAGGAGTAATTACAACTTATAGCAGTACTATATCTATTTTTTTTGTATTTGTTTTTTTCTTAGATTACATTATGAAATAAATCCTCATTAGATGTTTTACAGCTACTCACATAATATACAGTTCAGGCAAACCACCGCGTAAATGTTACTTTGAAGTTACTGTTTAATTAGCAAAACAAAAACAAAACCCTTTTGTATATCCTTACTTATATCTGACCATTTGAAACTGCTTCTTTTGGGATTATTCTTGTGAGATGCAAATGTATATTCACCAAATACATTATTAAGGCTTTAAAAGAGACCTTTGGTACATACATTTTAGGTAAAAGGGTGTCATGATTTGTGAACATATTTAAGGAGTCCAGATTATTTTTAGCATTCAGGTGGAGCTGAAGTCAGTATCTATCTATCTATCTATCTATCTATCTATCTATCTATCTATCTATCTATCTATCTATCTATCTATCTATCTATCTATCTATCTATCTATCTATCTATCTATCTATCTATCATCTATCTATCTATCAATCTATCTATCTATCTACCTACCTACCTACCTAGTTCAATTATTATTCTAGATAAGCAGAGACTTCCTGTTCATATTATGCCTTCACTTATTCTTGGTTCCTGAACATTTTATATAATAGGAAAGAAGTTAGAAAATTCTTTCAAATATATTTCTTATTTGGGTAATGAAAATATCAAGAACGAGCTTTCTACTAATTGATTTTGTAACCCAAGAATATTAGGCAATATTAATTCTAAAACTCCTCTTTGGGAAATTGCTTGTAATTTAGGAGCTGAGTGCTTAGGATGGTTATAAATTATTCATGCATTTTTTTTCACAGACATGAAAAATATAACCCATATGACTGACGCATGCTACCTTGCCAATGGAAATTAAATAGGATCATCATGAAGCAGCTGACATTTTTCACTGCTGTTGAATAAACCATCAAGGACTGTTTAGTAGGGCTGTGCACACTTCAAAAATGATTTGAAAGAAATACTTTTGAGCCATGTGCAAAAAACAAGATCTCTCTGCTACTGATTAAAGCAGGTCATTTTTTTTTTTAAGGCTTCTTTAGGAGTTTAAAAAAGAGATGCCACTGCTTTAAGGAAACACTCATTAAATGAATATGACATTCTTAAAGCATTAGTATTCCACTGACAATTTAATCAAAAATATTCGGATACCAGTAGTAAATACACTGACTATGCACCGAACTGTAAGAAATCTCTATGGCAAACTCTGCAATCATAAAGTGTTCACCTCCTATAATCTCATGGCCAGTTTTAGCTTTGGACTTAACTGGTTATGAATTATGGGAGGTAGAACCAAACATTTCTATAGGAAGTCCGACTGCAAAAGATTGTTGTTTTTGAAAATCTCTTTGGGTCTGCCACAAGTACTTGGGTAGCTCTAAAATAGCTCTTTAGAACCTTACTAAACATTTGTTATGAAAGGGCAAAGCAAAATATATTAACATTCAGTTAATCAGACAGGGATAACAAATTCTTGGAGTTCAATATATAAATCTGAATTGTGACATGTATGTCATATAAATAGCATTCTCTTGTTTATGTTAAGTTGGACATTTTTTAAAAAATTAAGTAAAACCACTGTCCTCAGTTCACATATTCTTCAGCACTGCTTATTGATTATATTTGATAAAAGATGATTTAATCATGTTTTATATCCAATTTTCTCCATGACTATTGCTCAGAAATATCTTATTTGGATTAGATTCGGATAGTTACAGCTTTGAAATGATATTTAGCCTTATGTTCATGTTTAGCTCCTTGAACAGCTATTAATTGGAATCAATATTATTTCCCCCCCTTAATTTTTATTGTTCTAATTTTGCTGAAGTCTTGACATTGCTTGGACAATCATTACCATGCAAACAGGCAGAAGCAATCAAGATTAAGGTTCATGGAATCGATTTAGTAATAAAGGAAAATCTGAGGAAAGATGCGACTAGGAGAAAGCAGAACCAAACTGAGCATGCTCCTATTCAGGCAGAGACAGAAAGGAAGTGGACGTACTGTAGAAGCTGGCCATTACGTAGTTTTGACAGCGATCACCAGTAAATTCATTTGGGCACCTGAGAGTAAAAACAAAAACAAAAAGAAAGAGAAAACAGAGAAAAAGAAAAAGAGGCAATTATATGCTAAGAGGCTCCTTGGGTGACTGCAGCCAGAACTTTGATGAATTCATCTTCAGAAATTGGGCCTGTTTCTTATTGCCAAGAGGCTGAAAAAGTTTTGAGGAAAAAAAATGGCTTCACAAGTACCAATTTAAGGAGGAAGGTGGTTAATTTTAGTTAATATAAAAGTACAACACCTGAAATGACAACTTGATATTATTGTCATTAGACAGTGAACTTGAACACAAGCCAGCTATTTTTTTAAAAAAATTTAGGCTAAAGCCTCAGAGACTCTTATCCAAATAAGAATACTTTCAATGACAACCAGAACAATAAAGAATTGCTGCAATTAGCAAAACAATAGTAAGTGTTTGGTGCTGTCAAATCTGCACAGAATGGTCAAAGGCAAAAGAAAAAGATCCCACTTTAAACTGAAGAGTGAAAACATCAAATGATAGTGATTTTGATTGCTGTAATTTGGGGAGAAAACACATTTTATCTTATTTTAAAACATACTTTGTGGACCTTTTGGCAATTTATGGACTTTCATGGGTACAACTTCAGCACATCTTGGTCCAGAGAATCCATCCTGACACCTAAAGGCAAAAATGTGATCCACAATTTAAAAAGAGAAGAACCCAGGGGTAGAGAAAATCCTGTTTCTATGGCACATGAGACTCCTCTAAAAGACCTCGGAGAAAGAATTTAAAATGAAAATGGATGACCGAACCATTGCATTTTTATTTAAACAAATTCTGTGTCACCAAAAGATAACCACAAATAACAAAATTAAAACGTACAATCAAGGAAAGGAAGTAATGCTGATGATAAATTTTCAGCTGATGTTTCTCTTTCTAGAATGCTATACCATGAATTCATTGGTGCTTTCAGCATTTATTTTGATGGCAAGATCAATTAAGGATATTATCCTTTTTTTTCCACTGCCATATCATTGATATTTTAATAAATATGCAGAAACATGGACTTTTATGTTATAGTTGGACTACAAAACTACCAAAGCAGAGCATAACATTTTCAAATACAAAATATATGATGAAATAGTAGAATGCAATGCTTTCTTTCTTTCTTTCTTTCTTTCTTTCTTTCTTTCTTTCTTTCTTTCTTTCTTTCTTTCTCTTTTTTATTATTTAAAATTATTAATTGACCAAATCAAATGAACTCCAGGCAGTATTATGTCAAAACAACAATATAATACCACCAGTAGCAAGAATATTATAAAATCAGAGGCAAAATGTATTTATTCTATTATTAGGGTCCAATAGAAAAGCTGATCCTCAATATTATTTAGAATAAAGGAGGCAAACTGCCCAAATAGGACTTAAAAAAGAAACTCCAAAGCTTCAGCTAAAAAAAAAAATGTAACCATGCCTCAGGAAAAGCGATAATAAAAAGTCCTCTTTAAAGATCAGACTTATATTGAAACAAGCAATTCCTCAGATATTGTAAACTCTTGGAAATTAAGAAACAGGACTTGAATTCAGCTCAGGAGAAAACTGAGAACCTCCGTCATATAGGAGTCTCTGCTCCCAAAATATCTCTCTGATTCTATCAAGGACTCTGCATTAGATGCATTCTCTAAATTCTTCAACCTCTACACCTAATTCTTCAGATGATGTTCCACTATATCCATGGAAAAAGAAATATCTATATGCTATGGTTCTCTTTTTCTTTATTTCATGTCTTTAATTCCTTTGAGTCACTGTTTATTTGTCTTTTCTGTGTTGTGCATAACATAGTTTACCTCAAAAGGGAATAGCATAATGGGTATGTATGTATGTAGGTATATATGTATGTATGTACGTATGTTCAGTTGGTTACAATCTCAAGACCTGAATCTGGACTGTAATAGATGTAGATCAAGAATTTAAATCAGGGGTTATAAACTCTTAATAGTTTCTGGCAGATTGACAAGGATTAAACATGTCTTTAATGCTTATATAACGAAGAATGGTTAGCAAAGCAAATACATTTTTTTTAAAAGAACTGCTAATTTAGTTCAATTTCTAGGCAAAGCTAATTTCTTAGTTCAATAATTTTTAGTTTGATATGATTTATACCAGTTGGCAGATTACAATATCATAGATGCCACAATTGTGGATTTGGTCTAATTAATCCAAAAATATATGAAATTGGGACAGTAATACACATTCAAATACTTTTATCTGAATGGAGAACATTTAAAAATGGATAATAATAATCTAGGAAAGAGAAATGGGGATAATGTTTTTTTTAGAAATGATCTAATTGTATTGTCCTTTAATACTGCAGGTAATTTATAATCCTATAGGGAAGCATTTATCATTTCCTCTGTCCATTTAGACAATCTCCGTCTGGCGGTTTTAATTAACCAGCACAGTCAAAGGTCCATCATGCACCCAATTTTCCTGAAACAGTAAAGGATATTGTTCATATACTTGCAGGGGGGAAAAAAGAGAAGAAAATCTCATCTATAAAATGCTATGTAAATTAATGGTGGGGATTATTGAACTTTCTTTAGGATTCAGGTTCAAAGCCATTTGAAAAGGTTCCAGTGGCCCAGATTGGATTTGCCACAGAAAATGTGCTTTTTTATTGCTATCACTATTATAGCTATTGCTATAGGGTAAACAAAAAAAAAAAAGAGAGAAAAGAATCCCCACTAGAATTGAACTGGATTTCATTGCTTTTGTTCAGTATCATTTTGAACCCAAGGAATGAAAAGAAAATGTCATGTTGAAAGAGAGAAAAGGGAAAAAAATTGTTTGAAATTTATACCATTAAAAAACTCATCTTCCCTGGTTTATAAAAAAAACCTATCATACAAAGAAATTGTGCTGCGTTTGTAAATATATATATATATTCTTGTTCCTGATTGCTATTAAATTCTTCTTGCTGCCTGAATCCAATCCAAATTCAATTAAATCTCTTTTTTAACCATTTTGCTTTTTTTTAACTTTTCCAATCTCAATTATCTATATATTTTTTTAAAAAAAAGGATTGTTCCTTTTTTTTCTCCTTGTATAAAGGAGAAATAGTGCAACTATTTGAAAATTCAATAAGTAACATAGATGTATGAGTCATAGTTTACTGTTTTTATGAATGTCAGGATTTTAAAAGTATACAACATTTTTTTTATGCTTAACATTTGAGGATCATTTTCTCCCAAATGTTTTCCTAAGTTTTATATAGTAGTCACAGCCTGCTTGAAATATACCCTGATCAAAACAAAATAGTATTTATTATTATTATTATTAATAATAATAATAATAATAATAAGTTGGAAGGGACCTTGGAGGTCATCTAGTCCAACCCCCTGCTCAGGCAGGAAACCCTATACCATTTCAGACAAATGGCTGTCCAGTCTCTTCTTAAAAACTTCCAGTGTTGGAGCATTCACAGCTTCTGGAGGCAGGTTGTTCCACTGATTAATTGTTCTAACTGTCAGGAAGTTTCTCCTTAGTTCTAGGTTGCTTCTCTCTTTGGTTAGTTTTCATCCATTACTTCTTGTCCTGCCTTCAGGCGCTTTGGAGAATAGCTTGACTCCCTCTTCTTTGTGGCAGCCCCTGAGATATTGGAACACTGCTATCATGTCCCCCCTCGTCCTTCTCTTCGTTAAACTAGACATACCCAATGCCAGCAACTGTTCCTTATATGTTTTAGCCTCTTTGAAAGGCACTTTGAAACAATTTTGCTTAAATACAGCAAATGTTATTGGACTGTATGTGTTAAACATACTCAGAAGGGCTTCATCAAGTCAGAGCTGCTAAGGTTTTTAAAATTCTATTTTATCACTGATCTAGCTTGTGAATGTTTCAGAAAGGCCTTATTAGTAAATAAACCGGAATGGCCTGTAAAAAAATGTGTCCTGTTTCAGGAATACCAATACCAAGAGTTCCTTTTGAGTAAATAGCACCACTATTCATGGATCCTGGTAATTGGTGGGCACGAATTAATTTTCCAAAAACACAAAATAAATTATGTTATCTCTTCCTAACCTAACCAGAACTCCATTTTCAAACTCTGATTATTTCTGAAAATAGCAAAACATGTGGTTTGGCTAATAAAAGTTATAAAAGCAAGAGTGACTATCACAAACAACACTGTAGCAATGTTGATCGCACATTGACTACATGTTTAAAACAAGAGCTCCCTACACTGCATTAATTAATCTTCAATCTATGCTTGAAGACCAAGGTTGACATAATGATATGAGTATGATTATGTGATATGAATTAGAATGAGATTTTTCAGTTGTTAGGAACTTTTCTCCAATGAATTTTACCTTGAGCTTAGTATCAGATATTTTACTGATAACTTTGTTGGCCATAAAGATATTTGAATCCCAAGTTGGCAGCTAAAGAGAGAATGTTTGACAATAGTAAAATTGTCTGCAATGTTATGGTTTGTGTTTCAGTTTAAGGAAATATTGCTTTGTTTTTCAAACAGTAAATCATGTGTAATAAATATGAATTTACTATTGAAGCAAAACCAGAAATATCTAAATGCTTCTCCTTTAGGATATTTCTAACCCTGATATGAATTTGTATCTATTTGTTTTTTAAAAAACCCAACAACGAAGTGATAGTACAGTTCTGCTTACTTGGATTAATTAGGTAACACTGTGTTTTGTATGGCAAAGCTGGATGAGTATGGTCTTTCTAACACTTCATTGGTCAAATTTGCTTTCCAATCTGAACATTTTAACTAGGGTTGGTATGACATTTTATCTGAATGAAATTGATCTTGCTGCTTTATCTATTCTTGCATATAATTCTATCAGGACTTGAATGTCATTATGAGCAATATAGCAGGAGTGGTATGAAATGAAAAGCACTTGATCATTTCCAATTGTGCTCAAACACACTTTTTGGTTTAACAAGGCCAATCTGAAAACAAAGCAATGTAAGAACACCCATTAAGAAGTAATTATATTCTCAATTTGATGCGAGGCTTACAATATTAACTAAGTCTTGGATCTAAAGGAAACTTCTAGCTTCTAGAAAAAGAATATTTTAGCATTTTTTTCTCTTTCAGTTGCATTTCATAAAGCAATCATAAAAGATTAGTGTCTTTATTTGATGCAGCCAAAATATAAGACATCTTAGAATTCCAACCAATTAATTATCTAATTGTTCACAGAGTATGTGCTATATGTTTCAATGTTTCTGGAACAACTTTCAGCTTGAAAAATAGTGGAAAGTCAATTGTGACATCTCTACCACAATGGTAAGCTATCACAGGTCATTGATCTAGCAAATATTATGGAATAATTTCAGAATGTCTTGTTTTAATGAAAGAAAGAAAGCATATTGTATTTCATATTTGTATTTTGTAAATGGACTTTTAATTTAAAACATGATTTTTTTCTCCAAACAAATGCATAAATAACATTAAAATTTTTTAATGCTTTTACCATATGAACAGTATCATCTAGTCAAACCAAAGATTCATTTAGTGTAGTTTTTCAAATTGGTTCACTCCAGCTATGATGACTTATGGGTCTGATAATTTTTATGAAATGCAGTCATTGGCCATGTCAACAGATGGTCCAATACAGCTGGAAGCAAATTGGGCACCAAAATAGTGGCTCCTTTTATTTTAATACATTGGGGTTTTTTTTTTGAAAAAAAAAATGGTATTTCTTTGTCTAACAGATTGTTATTGCTTTTTTGGCTAAAGAATTTTATATATGGATTTTATCTAATTTAAATCATACACACAAAACTATCTGCATGTTTTGGAGACGTGGGAAATGACTTGGGATGGTGTTTAACTCTTATTTTGGAGGATAAAAAAACCTGTCATCAGCTCATAACATACTGTATATTCTTTAGGTTAAACAGTGTTACTATATGAAACATGCATTAAAGCAATAAATTCTGTAGCTTTATTGGGAAGTTTCTCGTACTTGCATAAATATCTTGGGTTCGGAAGATCTTTGACCATGAAGCATTCACCCCCATTTACACAGTAGCCTTTCTTATTCACATCACATCTTGTGAGATGACTTGTCCCAGTAGTAGATGTAGAAGTGGCTAGAAGAAACAATGGAAATAGAAAGGGACAAATCTCAGTATGCATGTACTCAGAGTAAAAGAGTTAGAATTATTAGTATTAGCATTTTTATGACATGCAACAAATATTCAGTACCTTAGTTGCAAAGAGAACAACAAAAATCACTTTGTCCAAAGTATTCTGAGGGTTACCATATGATGTCTGAGTCAACACTCATTTTCCTGCTCATGGAATGGAACAACTCTCCATAGGCAACTCTCCATGGTCAATTCACTCCAGTCAACTTGCAGTGAGACAACTCTCCATGGCCAACTCACCGTGAGACAACTTGCCATAGGACAATTCAATAATTCAATTTAATAATTTAAACTAATTAAAACATTTTATTTTTTGTCATTCACATTTCATTGTGTCCCTCCTTTGGCATCCTTTCTTGAATGATTCTATTCCACCATTTTTTCGATATTAGTGTAACTCTTTATCCCGCAGCGAGTTGTCCCACAGCAAGTTGGCCATGGCGAGTTGTCCCACAGTGAGTTGGCTGCAGTGAGTTGTCCTAGACCAGTGGTTCTCAACCTGTGGGTCGGGACCCCATTTGGGGTCGATTGACCATTTCATGGGGGTCGCCAAGCAAGGCTGTCTGCCATTTTTTTTGTCCGCCATTTTTTCCCTTTTCCGGCGGGTGCCTTACCTCCCTTGGGCTGGGCCAGCTGGTGGTCGGCCTGCTCCGTCTCTGCCGCTTGCCAGCTACGCCTCGGCCGGCGCAGGGGGCGGAACCACGCATGCGCGGTGCTCCGGGCAGGGAAAGTCCTCGACTTACGACCGGTTGGGTAGTCCTCGACTTACAACCGGTTTAGTCCTCGACTTACAACCGGTTTAGTCCTCGAATTACGACCGGTTTAGTCCTCGACTTACGACCGGTTGGGGTCGCGGCATTAAAAAGGTTGAGAACCACTGTCCTAGACCCTTCCTGGTCGCCCTGTAATATTTTAGAACTGATCTCTGTGACACTGTAGGATGGATAAAGGAGTGAAGAAAAGCAAGTCTCCTGCTCCTGGCATGATAATTTTATTATACTTTATATAGCTCCTTATAAAATACATTTGCTGAACAGATTACAGAAACAACATGCAAGAAGTAATACGAATAGTATACAAATCTACATATTCACAATAAACCAAAACTTTCTTATATTCTCACATACATATTCATAAGTAACATTATGCAAAGTTCAGAAAGAGAACAAGAAATAGTAAGCAAAAGAAATGGAAGGATGAGAGAGAGAATGTATCTTGTTTACCAACTTCTTTGAATACTTCACTATACTTCGTTAACAAACTATCCTTGTTTCTATCTATATCCATACTCCCCCCCCCTTTGTATATTGTCACACCCTGGTCAGCATTTTTTTACTCTCCTACCATCGGGTAGGAGATATAGAAGCATAGCCAGTTACACCAACAGGCTGAAGAACAGTTTCTACCCATGGGCTTTCAGACTCCTGAATGGAAAATAACTCCATGTATGATAGACTTGTGGGGCTGGCGCGTTGTGTAATAAGTTCACATGGTGCAATAAAATTGTGTGTTTGTTGTCATTGTGAGTTGTGATGGGGTGCACGAAGGGAGGCTCAGCCAATCTCATTGTACACATGTTGTATTCTGACAATAAAGGATTTATGTTATGTTGTTTAATCTTCTGACCTCTTTTTTGAGGATCTTATCAATTTCATCCAATCAACATTTTTTTTCAAATCTTCCTGTTCTCTCAAACTCTTCACTCCTCATATATTTGTTTTGCAATTCTATTATCATTTGTGCTCTTTATAGACTATACCACACCACATTTTTTCCCCGAACTTGTTATTCAGAATTAATTTACTCTTGCTATTAACTGTAACAAGTTTACATGTTACCACACACTCTTCTTAATTACCCAATTTCTACTTCATTTTACTTGTTCTATTGTTTCTCCACATAGTGGTTAAGGCACCAGGTTAGAAAGCAGGAGACTATGAGTTCACGTCCTGCCTTAGCCATGAAAATTAGCTGGGTGACTTTGGGCCAGTACTCTCAGCTCAACCCCCCTCACAGGGTAAAATAGGAGAAGGAAGGTATGTTCTCATGCTCTTCAACCTTTTCTAACACCAGCATCTGCTTTACAGTAGGGGTCTATTCTGGGTTAATAATTCTAAGCCAGGGGTCCTCAACCCCAAGTCCATGGACCAGTACTGGGCTGCGGCATGCCAGCAACCGGTCCGCACAAACAAGCAAAGCCCCATCTGTGGGATGCAGGCAGCACACAAAACCATACAATCTCCGGTCTGCAGAAAAACCTTTCTCCACGGAACCAGTCCCTGGTGCCCAAAAGGTTGGGGACCTCTGTCCTAAGCATTAGTTTGTTATCATCTGAAATTCGGCCATGCACATAAAATACAGAGAACTCACCCTTAACCAAGCAAATCAAAGTCAAATTGAATAACAATGCAATTGTCTGCCTTGAATCCAATTTGCTAATAACTACCCTTCCACATCTAGTTCTTTCACTCCTTAATTAATCTGCTAGTAACATTCAATCAGTTCAATTAATTAATTTAATGACTTCTTGTAGAGGCTTCAATCCAAAAAGAAAAATAAGTTGGTAGAGCTGTCAAAACCCCTCATTATTGTTTGCCTTCCTCTCAATTTAGCCCATGCTAATAATTTCAGGATTTAATCAGCTCTCAGATTTCCAGGGTGTAGATAGTTTTTGCTCTTTCCATCTCCAAGCCTCAAATCCTTAGGAGACACAGACTCCAGGAGAGGACACCTAAATAACTCCACATCTTAGCTCCATCATATGGAATCATGACTTAAAAATATAATTAGACATAGCCATAATTGATAAACTGGCTCATTGGTGTTTTCTTATGGAAATATTTACTGCATATGCAATTCTAGAATCATGCAAGAATTGCATCTATTACCTCTTCGCCTTTACCCTCTTCCATGTTTTCTTCTTAAATCAGACTATTACTCTAGAGACACCCTGCAGTTCTGAAGTAAATGCATTAATTTGAAAAGAAATGCAATACTGTCTGCTTGAGATCCTGCAGACAAAGTTTATTACTGCCACAAAGGCTAATGGAATGTTTTAAATTGAATTACAAGGATGAGTGTAGAGGAGTTAAGCTTAAAGCTACCTATAATTGCTGTGGCCATCTTATTTTGCACTTTTTCTCTGAGCAAGTGAGAGATCAAAAATAATGCAGCAAACAGATTTTTTTTTTAACTTGAAATAGTGGGCCAATCTGAACCATGGAAAAACAGGCTTCTCTTTTCAGGAATCTCTAAAAAATAATAAAAATTGGGGAAATATTACTTATCTGTTTGTTGATATGATACAGTAGCTTCTCCCAACTTGGGTGCTTTCAGAAATATGAACTTCAACTTCCAGAATTCTTTGGCTTGCTTTCTTATTAGTGAGAATTCTGGGAGATGAAATTCAGTAAATCGAAGAGCAACCAGATATGGGGAGGTAAGTTGTCTATCAATAAAAGTTCTCTAAGTAGGAAAAAAAATTAAACTATTGGAATATAAACCATAGTAATGAAAAGCAACAACAAAGACAATGAAGTTGCAGAAATGCTTTGATGAAAAAATGTCGAGAAAGAACATTCTTGGGTGAATAAAGAAGTCTTCATATGATATTGAAAACACCACAAGAAGGCATCAAATCAAGGGGAAATGTGTGTTTGTGTATGTATGTATACATGTATGTATATATATATTTATACACACACATACATAGTGCTAGGATGCTACTATGAAGGTCCTATCTTGAGTGGCCATCCTTATAACTCTAGTTGACAAGAATGCACAGAAATTTAATTCTGAATACAACTCTGTATAGTTGTCTAAAAGAGAGGGTCTGTAATTTGGTCCAGACATTAATGAATTTATTCTTGAAAAAAATAAATAAATCTGTTCTACCTGTTTTAAAGAAGGCAGTAGCCTACCTGCTTCTTAAAAATCCAATTATTTCTGGATTCAACAGTCCTGGGCAATTTTTATTAAGTCTTCAACCTCCACCTTTTGGGAAAAGTTGTAGAGAAAGAAGGTGGTTGGACTGCAGCAAAGAGAATTAAAGATGACTTCCATATCCTATCACAACTTCCAATAAAAGTATGGAATTAAATCCATATGTCAATAAATTTAAATATCTCCATGTTACCTGCTTGGCAGAATATTAGATTTTACTATTCCCCAGATCGTCATCAGCTTTTTCCAGTTTACCCTGAACTGCAGTTAACATTATTTTAGAACTCTATTTAAATGTCTTAAAAATAAGACATTGTCTGATTCCAAACCTTAGGAGCCAAATCCTGGACAGATCTTAGTTATGAAAGGGCTGAGATGATAGCATAAAGTTGAAAGTACCTTTGAGACTGAATGAGTTTCAGAAGCCACAAATACATAGGAAATAAGAGAGAAAAAAAATAAGATGAGAGCTCTGAAAACTAAAACTACAAGGGCTCTTGTTCTTCCAAGGAGCCAAGAAATGTCTCTTGTTTGCTCTGATATTCTCTGTACAGATCGTCCTCAACTTACGAGCCCAAAATTTATGTAGCTAAGTGAAACATTTGACCCATTTTACAACCTTTCTTGCCACAGTTGTTAAGTGAGTCACTGCAGTTGTTAAGTGAATCTGGCTTCCCCATTGATTTTGCTTGTCAGAAGGTTGCAAAAGGTGATCACATGACCTCGGGAACACTGCAATCGTCATAAATAGGAGTAAATTGCCAAGTGTCTGAATTTTGATCACATGACCATGGGGATGCTGCAACGGTGATAAGTATGAAAAATGGTCGTAAGTCACTTTTTTCACTGCTGTTGTAACTCTGAGTAGTCACTAAACAAACTGTTGTAAGTCGAGGACTATCTGTACAGAAAGTTCTTTCTTAATTTTAGTTGACCAGTTAAGGCCCTATCTGGAGGATACAAGATGATCATAAGTAGCCCAGGTCTTATGTAAAAAGTGG